GGCTTGATCCCCAAGTGGGGGGTGTGCAGGAGGCAGCCAGTCAATGATTCTCTCTCATCATTGATGTTTCTATCTCCCCCTTACTTGCTGAAATCAATTAAAAAAATTAAATAATAATTTTTAAAAGATTTTAAAAAAATGATTAGGATGGTAAATTTTAGGTTATGTATATTTTACAACTTTTTTTTTTTTTTTTTTTTTTTTTAAGCATCTACAGCCCTGGCTGGTGTGGCTCAGTTGGTTGGAGCATCTTCCCAGATATGGAAAGGTTACAGGTTCAATTCTTGGTCAGGGCATATACCTCGGTTGTGGGTTCAATCCCAGGTCAGGGTGTGTGTGGGAGGTAACCAATCAATGTTTATCTCTCACATCGACGTTTTTCTTTCTCTCCCTTGCGCGCTCTCTCTCTCTCTCTTTTTATTTAATATATTTTATTGATTTTTTACAGAGAGGAAGGGAGAGAGAGAGCTAGAAACGTCGATGAGAGAGGAAAATCGACCAGCTGCCTCTTGCACACCCCCTACTGGGGATGTGCCTGTAACCAATGTACATGCCCTTGACCGGAATCAAACTTGGGACCTTTCAGTCCGCAGACCAACGCTCTACCACTGAGCCAAACCGGTTTCGGCTTGCCCTCTCTCTTAAAGAATATAAATAAACGTATCCTCAGGTGAGTATTAAAACAAAATCACACATCTGTAATTGTGGTTTTCAATTTCAATAAGCCTAACCCAAACTTTGTTTTAAAACATGCAGATTTGGGGGCCCATCCCAGATATTTTGATTCCAGATCTCGAGTTGACATCCTGGAATCTGCATTTTCCTAAACATCCTACCAATGTTTAGTTCATTATGTATCCATTTCCTAGGTGTACCAGTAAATAATGCGGATTTTTTTTCAATAGATGGAGTTACACATTTGTTGATATATATGCGATTTGATATGTATGCTATTTTGTTGTATTGACAGCAAGCTTCAAAACTTCATATGTCAAATTTGCTGAAGGTGTTAACATCATAGATATTTTTATGCTTAAAAACATCAAATTTTGTGCCAAAAAAAAAGAGCATTTGAGGGAAGTTTTAATTCATTACTTTATTTTAAAGAAAAAATTATTGTATACTTTGGAAAGTTTATAGTGTACATGCTCCATCTCAAGATACTTGTGAACGCTGGTTTAAACGCTTTAAAAGTGATGATTTTGATATGAAAGACAAAGAACATCCAACCAACAATTACAAGCATTATTGGATAAAGATGTGTGTCAAACTCAAAAACAACTTGCAGAAAGATTGCATGTTGCTCAGCAAACAATTTCCGATCATTTACAAGCAACGGGAAAAATTTTAAAGGAAGGAAAATGGGTGCCACATCAACTGAACGAAAGACAAATGGAAAACCAAAAAGTCATCAGTAAAATGTTGCTTCGGCAGCATAAAAGAAAGTCTTTTTTGCATCGAATTGTGATGGGCGATGAAAAGTGGATTTATTTTGAGAATCCCAAATGCACAAAATCATGGGTTGATCCAGATCAACACCACTATCGACTGCAAGGCCAAATAGTTTCAGAAAGAAGACAATGCTCTGCGTTTGGTGGGATCAGGAAGGTGTGGTGTATTATGAGCTTCTAAAACCAGGTGAAACCATTAATACTGATCAATACTGACAACAAATAATCACTATGAACCATGCTGTGATTGTAAAACGACCAGAATGGGCCAGAAGACAATGCCAAGTAATTTTGCTTCATGATGACGCACCATCACACACTTCAAAACCAGTTAAAGACATGTTAAAAGATCTTGCCTGGGAAGCATTAACCCACCCGGCCGTATTCATCAGAACTTGCTCCTTCAGATCACCACTGTTCCAATCCAATGCACACACACTTTCTGAGCAGCACTTCAAAATGTAGGAAGAAGTGGAAAACTGTGTCTCTGAATGGTTTGCCTCAAAACAAGAAAAGTTCTATTGGGACCATATCCACAGATTACTTGAAAGATGGGGGAAATGTGTAGCTAGCGATGGACATTACTTTGAATAAAGCACTTTTGACGTTTCTCTTGAAATTATTGTGTTTTCTTTGATTACAAAATTTGCCGTTATTAACCAGTACACCTAGTATATACCCCTCCTAAAGGATCAAGGGATATTTTTTGAACAATGCTTTGTTGATGAGTATCCTGGTTGTTGCTGTTTTAAGTAAGCGTGTGTGTGTGTGTGTGTGTGTGTGTGTGTGTGTGTGTGTGTAACGACCTGGTGTTGCTGGCTCTAGCCACAGGCTCCACAAGACGGCCCTCCAGTCCTCAGGCAAGCGTGGCCCACACAGCTCCAGCATGTGACCCCCGGGACCAGGTGCCCGGGCCTCTCACATTTCAGCCTGGACAAGCTCTGCATTCTCTCCACGGTGTATCACATAAACCAACCACATGGCCACGCCATGTCCATGGCAAGCACACCCTGCAGTGGGCGTCTCTGCCTCCCCAGCAGCCGGGAGAGACCTGGTGCAGGCAGCCCCCTGCCAACAGCACCGACAATGCAGAGAAACCACAACTCCCAGCGCAGCCAGCAAGCACAGACCACGGAGAGCCCCTGGGGCCAGGGAGAGCCTCGGCCTGAGCAAGCACCGCCTGGGGGAGAGGCTTCCCCTCCCACAGCCTAAAGAGCCCAGGAGACTCTGCTCGCTCAACCGCAGCCGCTAAACACAGTGTTCCCGGCCCACCACATCCAGCCATGTAGTCATTTGTTATCTGCACCGCCATAATGGCACCTCTGACACTTCCCACGTTGACTCTAACACCGTCATTACTTCCCAGTGTGGCAAGGGTATGCTCCTTGGGCATGAGGCATGGAGTCCTTCCACCCTGGGAGGACGGAGCGGCCCGGGACGTCTGGATTCCAGGGCCCCGGAAGCTGATCTGCTGTGAAACCCAGATCGATGCGCATCGATGCGATACTAACCTTTCTAGCAATACATATGATCATGCAGTTTCCATGTATGATCATGCGGTTTCTGTCAAATGTACTAAAGGGAGCTATTTTTTTCCTTATTGTTCAAATGGCAGACCCACAAAACTGGGGCCTGTCCCCGAGTCCTACTTCCATTTAGCAAGGACCCCACCTCCTCCACAATGTCACACGCACTCACATCCATGAGCTCACGCGGCCCTGCTGGGCAGGGTTTATTCTGAAGTCGCTTTATCCCATAAGCAAATAGGGACTCAGAGAGGGTCCGTGACTTGCCCAGGGTCACGTGAGCTCCAGGAGGTACAGGGGAACTCAAACCCAAGCCCCTACATCCAAGCCCAGTGTGCTTTCTACTCTACCATCTCTTCCTAGTTGCCCTGAGAAGAGCTAAATAATAACTAGAAAAGCACTAGAAAACAAAACAAAAAATGAAGCTACTCTTCTGATCCATCAGTTAACAAACCCTTGATAACATCCACTAGCTTTTATTGACCAGTGGCAGGCGCGGAGCTCAGCACGCCCCTTGTGATATCTCATCGAATCCTCACCATAATCCGACGAGGGAGCCTGACCATCGCCAGCCTCGCTCTACAGGTGAGGCAACTGGGCTCAGAAAAGTTCCCCGATTTGCCCAAGAACACGCAGTGAGCAGGAAAGCCAAGGTTTAAAATGAGATCTACTTCTAAAGCCCTTGCACTTAGCATGCATGGATGGGGGGATGAGGGGAGCGCACCAGCTGGACGCAGGCAGGACAGGGAAAATGCCTCCCGCATCAATCAGGAGTGTGGCCAAGGAGCTCGAAGGAAGGAAGGAAAAAATGTGGACGAGAGAAGACGCTTCTAGGCTCCAGTGAACCCGGTAACTGCCATGTCCCTGGCTTGGCCTGGGGCTTGGGGCCCAGGTCCCCGCAGAGGCCCTGTCTGTCCCTCAGAGGCCCCACTGAAATGGTCTGTGCGTGGCACCACCTCCCAGAGCTCCCGGCTCAATTTCCGGAGACGGGAGAGGTGTCACGCGTCTCCTGCCACTAACCTGCCCGGCGCACCGAGCTTTTCGGTTCGCCCGGGCTTCCGCGGGGCCAGCTTATCGGCTCACTTTCCTGAGGCTCGCTGGTGCCGCTGATAAGATTTCCTGGCCCGTTCAGAGGAGATGAGATCCAGCCAGCTGTCCAGAAACGCGCAGGGAGATTACACTGAGGAGGAACCACCAGAGACAAAGGCCGTGCAGAGGCACCGGCCTGCTGTCTGCTTCGGTGGCAGAAATCCGAGTGGGCGCTGCTTCTCCGTGGGGGCGGGGAGCGGGCAAGGGGCAATGGCCATCTGCCCTCTGCCCGGTATGGCCCTCCTCTGCCCCCGGAGGAGCGGGCGGCAGAGGGGTCACCGCTTTAATTCAGGAAAAGTTCTGTGTTGGGAACAAAGGGGACACAGATGCTCATGGGCCTGCCTTCTTCATCGGGCCTGTCTAGGGGGGGTCTGGGGTCCTCCCTGGCGCTAAGGCCATAGCCCTTGTCCCATCCTCTTGCCCTGGAGCCTCCCCTTGAGCTGGGGCGCCCCTGGGTGGCTCCTCCACACCCCCGCCATCCTTCCAGGGCCAGCACCCCGAGCCCCAGGCGCCCAGGCCCGGCCCCTCACCTTGCAGACAGGTGCCCGGCTCCTGGGTGCCCAGGTCACCGAGGAAGCCACACCCCGGACGCTGCCCGAGGCTCAGGTGCACCAGGGCTGCACCCACGTGACTGCGGGGAGCCGGACCCCGGGCCGGGCCGGTGCAACCGCCGTCCGCAGGCAGGCGGGGCCCGGGCCCGGGCGCAGGTGAGCCGCCTCCCCTCCCGCCGGCGGCGGGGCTCCTCCCGGAGGCCGCCAGCCCCGGCCCGGCCCGGCCCCGGGCGCCGCCCGCACTCGGGCCCGAGCTCCCGCCGCCCGGGAGCCGCGGCGCAGGGCCTGTCCCCGCGGCCCGGGCACGGCGCCCGCCCAGAGGCCTCCGCGCTCGCTCCGCCCGCCCCTCGGCCCGGGGCCCGCGCCCGCCCGGCCCCACTTACTGTTTCCCGCGGGGGCGGCGGGTCCCGGCTCCGTCTCACGCAGAAGCAGCTTCTCATCGCCCGGGCGGCGCGCGAGGGGCCGGGCCGGGGCCCAGGCGGCGGGGCCGGCGCCGCAGCTCGAGCGCGAGCCTCCCCGGCGGCGGCGGCGGGGGCGGGGCGCGGCCTGGCGGCGGCGGCGCCCCCCGCGCGGCCGGGGCTGCGGGCCTCCCGGCGGCGCCCCAGGCTGGCGGGGCGGAGCGGGCGCTGGAGCCCGGGGACGCGCGTCCGGAGCCCGCGCCGCCGCCCCGCCTGCCCCCGGCCGCCCGCAGCCCCGACCCCCCGGAGCCCGGGCCCGCTCCCCTCCCCCCGCCGGCCTCTCCCGGACCCGCAGCCCGGGCTCCCCTAGGCCTCGCTGCGACCCGGACCAACCGGCCCTGGCGCGCCGCCGCCTGTCCCCGCGCCCCCAGGCCTCCCGGAGCCTTGGATAACAGCTCACGCACCCACAGGCACCCACACACGCACCCCGCGCCCCCACATGCACACAGACACACACACGGTGCCTGTTGCAGGGCGCCTGGCCCACCCAGCCTTTCTGGGCTTTGCAAACCCAGGCCGGTCCTTGGCTCAGTCACTCCAGCTCAGGGCACCCTCCTGCCCCACCTGACCCAACACAAGCTTAGTCAGACCCCAGCACCCACGGTTCCCCCTCACACAGACCCCCATCTCCTAGCGACTGTCCACATCCCCACGTGCTGGGCAAAGGATTTACCCACGCAGGCCCAGAGCCAGCCTCAGGGAAGCCTCTAGAACAGAGGTGGCCCGAGGTTCCCCTAAGGCCCTCCACATCCTTTGGTTTGGCCCTGCCAAGGTAGGAGGGGTGAGCTAATGTAGTGGTTGACCAACTATAGCAGGCGCATTTTTAAGTTGGTGATGTTTGTATGGCCCACGAATGCTGTTGTCAATACTCAGACAGCCCGTGGCAGGGAAAAAGGCTCCCCACTCCTGATCTAGTATGAGGGGCTTAAGCATAGGTGCCTACCCTAGAGCACTCTGGGGAAAGGTACAAGCCAGATGTGATGCCCTGCACAGCCCCAGCACGGCCCCCCACACAGGGGCCAGGTGCTACTGGAGAGGCCTCTGCTCAGAAGGGTGGGGTATTTGAAGCTAAGAACCATGCAGGAGGGATCTGCATCAAGTTGCGAAGGCATCAAGTCCATTTTCACACATTCCAGGTTTTTCCAAACAACGGTCTGATCCTAAAGAAAACGGTGCCAAGAGGGATTGGTTATGGAAGAAGCAGTCCCTTCGGGAAGCCATGCAGGTGTCGGTGTCACTCAAATGGCACTGGTTCCGGTGGTTTCACAGGCACATTCCAGCAAACCGTCCATGGACAGACAATCCCTATGTTATTTAAACGGTTACACAGGGAGAAAAAATAAAGTTTTCAATGTCATTTCTCAAGTTCAGCACAACCCGAGACCCAAATCCAACAGAGAGAACACCAAGAAAGAGAAGTGAAGGTCAAATAGAGAACACTAGTTCCCTGAGATGTTAATATATATTGTTGGCAGTCAAATAATTTGAGAAAATGGTGTGTACCATTGATAGTCTGCTTTTTGGAGGATCACAATAAAGTATTAGTATATGAAGGTCTATGTGCGATCCAGGAGTGAAGAAATGGCATTTCTTAAACTCATCTGAGCCAGAAACAGAAGTTTATCAATCCATCTCCAATATGTAAATCACTGCTATAGAGCAACCCACTTCAGTATACAACAGTTGTAAAACTATATAAAATTTTAGCAATTTAAAATCCAGCTTGCTGAAAAATAAATCAAAACCCACCATGATCAAACAAGATTTATTCCAAAAGTATCGGTAAAAGGATAATTCAACATTAGGAAATATGTAAAACTCATCACATTGTTAAAGGGAAACAAATCACAGAATCTTATGAACAGGATAGATGCTTTAAAAATATTCAATAAACTTCAACTACTTATAAGTTTTTAAACATTTCTTAGTAAACTAGGGAGGAAATTTATACATCTCAACATGACAAAGTTTATCAAAAGCTATAGATAAACTTTCTAATGGTGAAACACTAAAGGTATTCTCATTGAAGTGAAAAACAAGGATGCCTGCTGTGATTGCTAACAACTGTAGCCAATGCGATAAAATAAGAAAACAAAATAGGAAATACAAATATTGGAAAGGAAGAGACAAAATTGTCATTATTTCTTCATGATGTGAGTGCATACATAAAAATAGAAATTGAAGAGAATTAACTAAAAATTTTAGAGGTTTTGGTAAAATGGCCAGTTATCAGGTAAGCACCAAAATCAATGCCTTTCCTAAATGCTAAGGGAAAAGCCTTCTTCTCCACATTGTGGGACTTCCATTAAAATTAGACTCCTGGCCTGTCTCCACCCTCGGGAGGATGAATGACTTGTCTGATTAGTGAGTTTGGGAAAAGGAACCAGACAAGAAGAGATGCTTCTGAGTTCTCTTTTTGGCATTGTCTGATACCATGAAGCAAATATTTTCATGTACTCTCCACTGTGTGGTAAGTTCCTGGGGCAGAGAGAGTGTGTTGTCCAGTGCCTAAAACAATCGGTGTTTCACTAATAGAGAGATGTGGACAGGAATCTGGGAAGGTTGGTCAACTACCTTAATTGCTCTAACCACTCACTGTTTAGTTGAGACACTGTTAGCTGAAGCAGCCTCCACATCTTTGTCTTACGTACATTTCTGTTATTTCCTGCCTAAGGGCTATGGGTGCTTTCCCCATAGCCTCAATTAAAGGAATACCAGGGCCAGAGCAGTGTGCAGTCCTAGAGGTGGGCTCCTGCCTGGCCCCCAGTATTGCCAAATTAATACTTTTCTAATATCTTTTCATTTGTGTGCAGCCTTCTCCAGAATTGAACCCTGAACCAGAACCCTGAACACACAGGACGTGAAAGGGGTTCCTACAGCCCAGTACTGCCTACTACTATAAAAGTAAATCTATCCAATTTAGGGAGAAATACAGAAAGCCCCACTTAGCTATAGTTCAAATGCTCTAGTTTCCAGTGAGCCTTATTAGTATAATAATAAAAGAAGTATATTTATTTCCTATGCCTCTTTCCTATAATTATGCTTCAGTTTCTTTCAAGCCAAAAAGAGAGAGCAAGGTATTACTTATAGGAACCATTAAATCAAACACTAAATACCAGTAATTTCTACTCAAAAAGTATAACATATGTGTTATATTCTCTTGCCTAGACCACTTCAATACACTTCAATAATGTCTTTACTGGCTTCCTGGTTTCACCTCCATCCCAATAATGGAAAACAGCAACAAGAATGATCATTAAAACAAAACAACAAAAAAACAAAACAAGTCACTCACTTGCTTAAAGCCTCCATGACCTTTTACAACATTCAAATGCTCCAACGTGACCTACGAGATCTCATGGTGGCTGGGCCTTGCCAGACCCTCCACCTTCATCTCTGCTGCTCTAGACCCACGGGTTTGCTCAGAGATCCTTAGATAGCAAAGCTCTTTCCTCCCTTGGGATTTCGCCTAGAGGGCTCCTCCCCTCCATCTTTACAGGGTCTGGACCCTCTCTCTCATCCTTACCTCTCAGCATCAATGTCACCTCCTTGGAAACCTTCACTGGTCATCTGTCTAAGTCGGTCCCTGATTCCTTCGTACTGCATCAGTTCATTCCCCGCTTCTCACTCATCACAATTTGTAACCACCTCCTACTTGTTCACCTGTTCGACGGTCAGTCTCCCCACCGGACTAAAAGCTCCGCCAAGGTATCTGTCCATTAAGCATAAATGGGCCACATAGACTAGCCCCTTCAGTAAAAGTCTGTTAATAGATAGATGTGTCAACACTTAATATGTGCATACCCTTAGCCCATGTCTAATAACTAACCAAAGTAAATAATCAGAAAAGTGCACACAAATATATGTTCAGGGATAATTATTTTAGCATGGCCGATAATGGGAAAATATTGAATATATCCTAAAGGCCTAGTCATAAAAGAAGGCCTAGTCATAGGAGACCGAGTCATAAAAAATAAAATAAATAAAATAAATAAATAAATAAATAAATAAATAAATAGATATAGACACACACCATGGTATTTTGTTAAGTAAAAAAGGCAGGCTATAAAACAGAATGTATTTATTCTGCCAGCCCATTAATTTTGTACTTAATTGTGGTTATGTATATGTACTAATATGTGCATAAAATACTCGAGAAAATGTATATCAACATCGACAGTTTAATGGCAGCTCTATCTGTGGGGAAGGCAGAGACTATTTTCTCTTTCAGCATATCTATATCCACATAGCTTAGGAATTTGGATGCAAGTAACAGAACACCCAACAGCAGTGGCTTGAGCAGTAGGCATTGATTTGTCAGGCCAGCCGTCATCTGCCTCAGTCTTTTTGTTCTAGGAGAATGAAGACACTCAGAACACGTCTCCCACCCTTTGCTGGCATCCTCAGGAAGGCTGTCTTGATGTTTACGTTGGTGGGCGCAGATGGCTCCTCCAGCTTCAGAGTCATGGCCTTCTCTCCCATGGCAGGAGACTGGGTGGGAAGCAAAACCTCTCCCAGAAATGTCCCAGCAGACCTGCTCATGGGCCACTCCTAACTGCAAGGGAGGCTAGGAAATTGGCTTTATCAATGATGGCCACCTCCTGAGGCTGGCTGTATTGTCAGGCCAACACCAATCCCCATTCCCTTGGGCAATAGTGTGGAGGTTCCTCAAACACTTGAAACTAGGACTCCCTGTGATCCAGCAGGTCCTCTTCTGGGTTTATGTCGGAAGGAGCATGTGCACTCGCCTGTTCACTGAGGCATTACTCTCAATAGCCCAGCCACGGAAACAACCGAGTGTCTGCTGATGGATGAATGGGTAAAGAAAATGTGGGATGGTGATACAACCAAGTATTATCCGCCATAAAAGGGAAGGAAATCCTGCCATTTGTGACAACATGGATGAACCTTGAGGACATTATGCTAAGTTGAAATAAGTCAGACAAGGAGAGACAAACACTGCATGAGCTCACTTATATGTG